TGAAGTTTTCATATTTTAAGTTGTTGAGATGAGGATAACGTATAAGAAAAAAAAAACCATGAATACTTTAATAACTTTTAACTCTTAATAAAATTGATAGCTATAATAGTTATTTTACTTTGACATGGGTATAAAAAAAATATTACTATCGCGTGATCTTCTTCGATATTTTCACAATCAGATTGTATAAATCGTTTTGCAAATTTTAATAATATCGCTCGATATTACTTTGATTGTAGCATATTAATATTGATGTGGTATAATCTTTCTCACATTTGATGTTAAAAAATAATTTTTATTTATATTAGTAAACATATAATTATTGAGTAGACTTAAGCAGCYCCCTCTCGCTCCGATTGATGAMAAAGAAATAGAATTGTGGGAGGCCAGGGAAGACGGATTGGATCGAGAGGCGATGCTTATACCTYTTCTTCGAGCATTTGACAAACTCACACCATCCATTTCAGATAATGTGAGGTAACTTAGTTTTTGTAAGACTTGAAGACTATCTTGGATGATTTTTTTAATGTAATCTAACCTTCACAACAAAACATCAGATCACTACTAGAAAACAGAGTATCAGCGACGGATAGACCAAAAATCATTTCCCTCGCAGATCAGCAACAAATTAGTGAGGGAACTGGTTTTTGGCTTATCCATCGCTGATCTGTCGTTGATCAGCGAGGAATCTGCGAGGGATAGGCCAAAAATCAGTTCCCACGCTTATCCTATCGTTGATTAGCGAGGGAAATGGTTTTTGGGCTATCTCTCGCAGATTCGTCGCTGAACAGCGAGGGATCTACAACAGATAGGCTAAAAACAGTTTTCTCACTAATTCGTCGCTGATCAGCGAGGGATCTACGAGGGAAATGGTTTTTGCAGATCCCTAGCTGATTAGTGACGGATAGACCAAAAACCGATTCCCTCGCTAATCCATTGTTGATTAGCGAGGAAAATGATTTTTGGTCTATCCGTCGCTCATCCTTCGCTGATCAGCAAGGGATCTGCGAGGGATGGGCCAAAAATCACTTTCTTCGCAGATCTCTCGTAGACTAGCAACGTGGTATCCATCGCTAATCAGCGAGGGATTATCCTATTTTTCTTATTTTCTCATTTTTTATGTGTTATATGCACACATGTTTATATGTCGGTGTCATATGAATACATGTATATGTGTTATATGTATATATGATGAAGATATATGTATTTTGGTTGCTAACCGCGATAATTAAATCTATGTTTATATTGTTGAAGATATATGTTTTGGTTTCGGTAGTTAGATTCTATGAATTTGAACATTAAATTGTATGAATTGTATATCTTTTTGACATGCGATTATAATGTSTTTCAAGGTCTTTTTTCTGATATGAACAACACTTCATTTCAAAGAATTTTTCCCTTGCATGGGTAGTGTGCTCGATTGGATTGYCTATAGATTTTATGTTGGAGTTCTTCAGGAGACTGRGATTGTTGGATTTGTAATTATCGATATTCTCCAAGGCTCAAATATCAATCTCTAAGGCGACCTTGRCATCTGGTTATGAACCTTTTAATTACTATGTCAATATCATAATACTAGAGTTCTGCACTACACCATGTTTSMATCTCAAAGCTTTTGTCTCTCCATCTTGATGGAGGGATATCATCAAAGGTGARCTGYTGTTTAGTATCACTTTTTGAAGTTTTGGCCCGTCTCTAGGGTGTTGATTCTRAGCCAGTGTCATTTGGTCYTTCTTTGACTTCTGGATCAATATGATATCTTGTTCCTGGTTCTGTCATGAACAAGTGTTTGATTACCTCTGTTGGGTCGAAATCATCTTTTATATAAGTGGAGGGAGAAATGATTGGTGCAACAACACTGTA